TTCTGCAAAACCAGTGCATAGAATGTGATATCTTTGTCGTATTTGATTTAGTTCAGTGATAAAAGCTACATTTCCATTACTGCTTCGCATCACTGATAGATATAAAATGGTAGCCGGAAGTGAGAGTATCATTTCGAACTTGGTGCAAGTCATCTCTACTTGTTAGCCAGGACAATTCGAGTCTGGCTATCAGTCGTACCTCACAAGTTAACTAAACAAGTCGCTGGTCTAGTTGATTGCACTGCAGTAGAGAAAAACGGACAGGTTCTGCTAACTATGTAGTTAGACGGTTCTTTTCGCTGTCCTCGCAGTAAGACTGAATGGAGAAATTTGCGAAAGCTATGTCTTGAAGTCAAATTATGCTGCTTATATGACGGTGCTGTACTTTTTGGCACATCTCGAGCATACATTACCCTTAGAGAACAAATAAGTTTCATTAAGGCTTATCTTCAACAAAACAGACAAATCTATTTTGTATCCATTCGTAAAGCAATCGAATCGCAGCCAGGGAGAGGATAATGTACGGCATAATAAAAAATACTCATATCAAGTATACTTACCGATAGTCTATGTGAAACAAATTCATGCACTTCATGTTTCTCTATTTCTCAGTTATGCTCTCCATATTCAGTTTTTGATCATTGAAGTAAAGAAAGAAACGGAATCAGACACATTTCTTTTTTGGTTAATCAATTTTCCTCCGTTGTTTCGAGGCTTTGTGAAGCTTGAAAACCCAGTATAATATGTGATTTTCTTCCAACTATTTGTTTTACTTGTCCATTTGACAAAAGACTGTGTCAAGTGTGAGGAAGCTATCCATACATCATACCATCTCTCAGGTTTTACTGTTATGGGAGCCCCGAATAACGTTATTTAATCTAATTCATTAAATGACTAAACGAATGAGTTCCTTTAGCCTGTGAAGTACTTTTTAAGTTTAAACATTCTCCTTCACTTATTTTAGTGAGCTTTCTATGTATGCAATGGGTATTTTGTAGATGAATGTAGTAAACGTATTTTGCAGGTACAAAACGCAAATGATGTTATCCAGCGCCAGGTGAAATCAACTTCACTTGGCGATAAATCTATTTTCCTGGTTCTTTCATGAAATAAGGCATTTAGAGTCCCATTAGTCAAGCTGCCCAAAACAATCACCTCTAATTTTTATACTCAATACTGATTGTTTAAACTTCCGGAATATACCAGCAGCGCACATTGGAACCATTTTGGAGAACAAGCTTCTTTTCGATGACTCAGCAAATGGTTGGTTCATCACATCTCATATTGCTTCATTTTGTGTAGAGAAAGAAGTAAAAATCAAGAGTCAAAATAAGGTATTCTTGTCATCTGTTGAAGTTGCGCGAACCGCATATGATTGATCTTACCATTCGAGTCTTGCATGAACCGCCCAAATCATGTGAGATGGGGCGGAAGAGTGCGTTTGAAGGGGCGGTGAGCCATGGCAGGCCGAGAAATTTCAAAAACCGATTTTGGGCTCACAATAAAGACCAATTCCACCCGCACCGGTGGTCTAGTATGCAATATTTGCTCGGTTTAAATTGATGACCCGGAACAAAGGAGAGATGACTAGAAGGTTCATTTATAACTACTAGTAAAATCAGATAAAATGTGGAACAATGCCACTTGTAACGGTTTGAGTTTTTCCGGTGTTTAGTCAGATCGGATAATATTATCAAACTGTCGTAGATAGGCTTTTGCTCGTACGGTTCATGTTCGTTGTGCCACAGGAGCACACACAAAGAGAAGAAACAGGAGAAGTAAGAATGTTGTCTCAGAATTGCAAACAAATGATCGGTCTATCCATAAACGGTCATAAGGTTTTTTTAATGTAAAATGATGCAATATTAAGTGTGATGTATTACACAGCTGATAAATCACCACAAACAAGGTTGTTCATAAAACTCTTTTCTGTTGAATTAGAAAAAAACGTTTTTTTCACGCACATATCCGTTCAAAATGCAGTACAATTGATAGGCTGCACTGCCCCATCGTGGACTAAATGTGAAATTTTCCATGGCAACAAAAACATCTACAACGCTTCCCGGTATTCAGAGACTCCCTAGATTTCCCTATGATCAAGACAGCAATAATTAATCACTTACTCGATACTTTATTTACGATTTCGGTCAATTAGCTCAGAGCTTTAGAGCGTCGTAGGTATGATACATTGGTCCATGCCATTGCTCGCATAATCCAGATACTGTTGTTGGTATTCGGTTTCAGTTTCACTCCTTCGGAGATGGTTAATTCCCCACCCAATGATTGCATTTATATGAAATGGTAAGACCATCAACATTGCCTGGCATCTGTGAGCAATCGAATGGGCTAATCCGAACATTCATCGTCTCAACTGACTGAGCCATTCGCACAAGGCGACGATCGGACACCGCGTAGCTCAGGGGTAAAGGTTTCATCTCCCAACTCGAAGGCTCGCGGTACGATTCCGACAGGGGCACAAAAGTAAGCACGGTTGACGAGTTCTAAACATGTCAAAACAACTATTCAATGCTCTTTGTCGGTCATCACAAATAATGCCAGTTCAGAGTGTTGTTCACCTATTTAGTTACGGAAAGGTGGCGTTTGTCTATTGATCATTTCAAACTGTACATTCTTGATTCTATAGAATACTGTTCTATTATAGGCTTCATCTGCTATCGCATTGAATTATGCAACCGTTCCGCTCTGTGTGAGTGCCGTATGGTTAATCAACAGTGCAGCGCAGAAAAATTGGTTCAGGAATCACATCGAACTTTGCTTTGCACTTCCCTACCTCAATGAAACAACTATTCAGATCACTTTTCATGTTCATAGTTTAAATGTGTTAAACAAATTTCAGAAAAGTCTTTCTTCTCCGTAATGCCGACTTGAATATTGGCCACAGAGAGCCCGTTCAAACTATCTCGACACATTTATCCTGTGTCAAAGAATCTATCCTGATAAGTGAAACGTCAATTGTACAACTCGTACATTATCTCAATCGATGCAGAACGCACTCTTTTGATGTCTACCCTGAAAAACTGTGCAAGTCTGTGCGTGTGCCATCATCGTGTTGTGTGCGTGTCTCTTTCAATAATATATATATACATATATACCGTTTGCAAGTATTGGGGAACCGCGTGCGTTCACTCTTCCGTGACAAAGCTGGAAGTGTCTGTTCCCACTGGACTGTATTATAAATAGAAATGGTCAACCTAACTGATCCATAAATTTCCCGTTGCTGTTCTTGATGCACTATCAACGTGGAGTATTTGCTTTTCCGGGTTGAGGCAGTCACTGTGCAAAATACTATCATTTAACTATTGAGGTTTGTCGATGTGTAGGACTCTATCTGGTTGTTCACACATCAACATCCATTGTTTCTCGTTTGTCGACTTGGGTAACGAGATTTTAAGAAGGCTTTTCATCATCAGTCCAAATGAGATCACTTGACCGTACCAAATATCCCAAACAGGTGGGCTGATGCAGCTGAATTTGAACAAACCATGGGCACGAGAACAAATGCTCCACACCCTATTGAAACTGGCAATAACCGCAAAATGTCATGCTTAGGAGACAGAACACCATTTATTGATGCTCTTTGTATTTTGTGGCTTACCGGCATAAATGATGGAGTTAATTTTCTGTACAATGGTGTGCTTAAGTGGCCGGACTCGCTCTCTTCAATCAAAATTCACCTTATCAAGCAGATGATCTAAAGTGCTGTGTAAATGACTGTGGGACTAACAAGCAAACAGACAGACAGACGAACGGACGGACAGACAGACAGACAGACAGACAGACAGACAGACAGATAGACAGACGGACTGAAAGGTTGCCTACAGCCGGCCGGCACTTGGAGTCTGCAGAAATCATTTGGGGCATTTGGGGCACTCCTCAAAGGTGTATCAAGATCTATTTTACTGAGAAATGATAAGGTGAAATCTCGTACTCCACCTTTTCTTTTCGTTGCTCCCTCGGTTCCCCAAAATCATTATGACCATGCGGTACTTTAATCGCGGGCTTATTTATACGAGCATGCTAATCAGATGTGAAACAGTACGGGGGCTTGAGATTAAGCTAGTGTTAGCAGTGTGACAGCGGTTTTCTCTCGGTTGTTTAGGCAACGAGAGGAGGGAAAGTTACCATGACCCGGGTTTATAAACGTTTATGAGCTAATAACCCTCGTCCTTCGGATGGGATTGAAATTAGTCACAGAAGCTTTAGATCCTAGATGAACTATTCATGTGGATTTCACTATTTTTCATCAAGCCTTCTACTACCATTTAAATTCTGGTTGCGACGATCAAACAGTGATAAAATCACAAGCGCAGCTAACAAAACGAGTTAGCAAACGCGGATGCTTCGAATAACACAGATTCTTTAGAATATGTAGTCGGTCGGAAAACGGGCTAAAAGGCTAGAATTAGTTTGTGTGCACATCGGCGCGTACGCTAAGATGTCACCATCTGCCTCAATTTTTCTTCATAAAATCGTGTGCAGAACGCTTCCGATCAGCTGATTGGGTGAATCTTTGATGAGGGTTTTCAGGTAGAGGCTGCTAAACACAGTAAATGAGGGATCGGTTCGGTGCCTCTATGCACTTTATGAAAACTCTCAGTGTATTGTTAATCAGGGAACAATAAGAACTGACGTTGCCAACAAAGATGTTAATAACCCTACTTGTGTTTAGCGATAAAGAATAAATTAATCCAAAAGTGATCAGTTT